TCTTATTCTGAAGATCCATTTTTGGGCAACTTTTTGAGCTAGCATGATGTTTTTGGTACTTCTGATAGCCAGATAAGAATGAAACTTTGCCCATATATTCCTTAACATGTGAAGGGTGCAAGTATCTCCTTTAAAACTTGATATCACCAGTATACTTATTATGAACCTCAAGCAAGCAATTAGTGTAGGCTGAGGATCATCAAAATTATCATATTATAACTTTTCTTGCCCATTAAAATGTCTTATACATACTTCCTTGATAGTTATTTCCATTCCACAGTTAATGTGGAGCAATATGAGGCACCAATGCCTAAAAGTGGTCCCATTCTAGGCATTGATCGCCTAGAACCATAAAAGTTTTACGGCCTGCTGTATGCGTTATGAATAAATCACAGCGCTTTCTTTTGTACCCGTTGTACTTTACCAATTGTCATAGCACAAGACAAAAACTTTGGAACTTACTATAAAACTAATTATATATTTGAAATCAGCACAAAAACTCATATATACAGCAAAAAATATCATTGCCCTATGCTGTAAATGAACAACACTTTTTTTAATCATATCTCCCCTTAAAACATAAAGCACAGGTAGAGTAAACTTGAAAAAGGACTGCAAGGGGGCTAACAAAATGACTTAACAAATTATATGCTAATTGGTTCATACCAAAATTAATAATGTACACAGAAAACAAGCAGTGTAAGTTATTGAAAAAGGAGAAACAAGAGAAAACAGAACATCAACTGATGAACAAGAATACGAAAATCATATTAAAATTTTTAAGTTTGATTTGTAAAATATGGATATTTCTTTTGCACGGGTTTTAAATTATTCAGTTCTGTGCGAATGAACATAACATTTTTGGTCCTTACTGAGGAAGGTTGATGCACAATGGTGACTGTTTCAAATGTTTCAGCTAAAAGAATGTTGACGTTGTTGCAGAAGGGTAGCAGCTCCTGATAGCAGTCATTATGAAACCTAGATACCCCAATTACAGGCTACATTTTGTTCTGGACATGTGGTATACTGATGGAATAAGCATTGCATAAATAAAATTTCTAATGCTGACTCAGTGCAGAGTTATCACCGAGTCAAGATACCTACCAACCTCCCTTGCAAAGGCCAACTACATCTAGGAAATAAGAACGCTACACTGCCTGTTTCTGGCCAACTATACACAGCAGTTATAAATGCTACACAGTAACTTCGAAAGCCATACAATACAGATGCCTAGTCTATAATTAGGCAATGCAAATATCAATTGGCAGCAGCCTCCATGCTGAAATTTCTTGAAAACTGGGTGGATGTATGCATATGTATAGCTTGTCTAAAGCTGTCCTGCAACACCTACATAAGCAACCATACAGTGACCTCACTATTTGGTTATCTTGTCTCAAAGCTTTGCAGCCACAAAAAAGTAGAGTAGGACTATCAAATGAGAAGAGCTAGAAGTTGCTATGAAACTGCTAAATGATTTTCTCATTTGAAGACTGCTAAATGACACATGGTGGCAATGGCAAGACGCCATTCCAAACTTGCGTCTCCACGCATCTCGGCCTATTTTTTTTTTTTTAACACACTGGCTACTAGTGTGTTTAGAAATGCCCAGATCATGCAAGATCGGCGTGCATGCTGCATCAGCTCACTTTATGTTTGGCACTGGCTCATCTACAAAGACCATTCAAATCCGGCAGAATTAAGACGGAATTGACATGAATTACAATTTGCTTGAACTTCACTTAAAATAAAAAAACTAATAGTTGTGCCCAAGCATAAACAATGATGTGCACCTGGTGACATGCAGTGCCTCATTGTACTTCCCATGTTGCACAAGGCATGATCTTTTTTTCCTATTTATGATGAGCTCCTGAATTGAGACACACACTTTTAAAAAAGTTTTTCTTGATTTAATGAACTCCACAAATGAGAACATATGGTGTTCAATATTTGCAGGTTTTGTTGCTCACTGAATAGTCAAGTTAAATAAGAAAATTCTAACAGCCACAATGCTGGCACAAAACATAAGAGCCACCAAAAACTAATATTTTTTCGAGTAATTATCAAGCACTTAATAACAGCTGCAGTAACAGGTGCCTGGCTGTCAAGATGTCAATACGACACTGACTCTGCAAATGTTTGGAGTCATTGTTTTTGAACATAGAATCTATGTTCAGATAGTGTATGCTTACAGAAGACTTTTGCAGTTAGTGCTTATGTATAACTTGCACTTTTTACAAGAGCGTGCTGTTTGGAATTTGTACTTTGTGTTTAAAATAATCAATTTGAATAACACATTTTAATTTTTTTCTTCAATCAAGTACATAAAATGGTTACCAAAAAAGCTTCTCCGTTTCTCAATTTTATATCAGTTTATACAAGCTGTGAGTGTTACGCAAGCACTCATGGTAGCAAGTACAGTATTTTTTTTACCCAGAAAAAAAAAAATGAAATACATAGCCAACAGTGAAACCATACTTGCTGGAGGATAAAATGAAGGAGCTGAATTTACATGCGTCCACCGAATAACATCTAGAATGAATTACATTGCTTAATTCAAGAAAATACTTACAGACAGTGTGTGAATGTTTTATTGAGAGCTTCAAAGAAATTTCATACTTTCCAATATCCATGAAAACTGAATTCATGCATATCAGACCTCCTAATCACTTATGCACATGAAAATGGGTTGGGAATTTCCTGCTGAATATAGAGTTAGGGTTCCGGCAGGAAATGGCTCGTCAGGCTGAAAATTTTCCATTTCTTGCTGGAAATGGCATTTCCAGCCGGGAATGTGTTCTGTTCCCAGTGGGGAATGGTATTTCCAGGCTGGAAATGGAAATGATTCCCAGCTAGAAAGCCATTTCCAGCTAAACGTTTTCCAGTCTCCATGGAAAGTTATATTTCCAGTAAAAAAATTTTCCAGCATCAGTTGGGAAATTATTTTCTCAGCAAAAAGTTATAATGTTTGAGCGGAGGAAGTGGTATAGTTGACAAAAGCACAGTGTACCTTATAGTACACTGTAGCAAAAGGAATCCGGCTACACGAAAATTGCTCTACAACTGAGAGCAGATTAATTTAAAGATGACTTCAAATATTCCATCACACAGCTGATAGTTACAATTCGCAAAAGTGATCTTGAGCGCCCTATACTGCTGGATTTGCCGAAAAAAAGTTAAGCCAGGAGTAAAATGTACATTTATTTTATCATTGCAGTACTACAGAGATATGCGCCCGTCGATGCGGTTGTAAATGTTACAACTGCAGACGTCCAACCAATTGCTTGCTCAATTGCTCACTGAGCCGTTGCGCCAATAGCTAATGTTTTAAACAAAGATATAGCAGTTAATTCCTCGTGAAAACGAGCTTTACTTTCAAGGTTCACCATTCACTGCCACGATCGACTAGCACTACATGTGCTAGCTTGCTCTCGCCGATGCAGCGGCCATGAAAAACACCACACTGCCGATATTTGTTGACATCTCACTAGCACTATTCTCGTATCGTTTCTCGTTGATTTCTGACATTATTGCAAAACAATAACCTATTTTATATTATTACTATTATTATTATTGCTTGAAAAAATATTATTTTTAACAGTAAAATGACCAAATACAGTGGTTAAATATATTGTATACTATATTAAGCCGCTATATTTTCGTACAACTCATGGCGGCTAGTTGTAGCGCGATCTTGGCATGTGAGCGCTCGGTGTTCGCTAGTTTAGTGAGTTTCTGTGAAGTGTACCTATGTGAATGCTACATGAAATAGTTCTTTCTAGTCAACTTTATCTCTGAAAACTGTTGCGAGTGATGCCCAGCATGTTGAAGTGCGTTTTATCGCTATACTGTGTGCAATGTCTTGAATACATGAGGGCTAACCAAGGGACGGTGTTTTTCTCAGCTCTGATTCTTCCAATTGGAGGTAAACGTTGTACTTACATATTCCAAGTCTAAGTGAACGTTTGGCCCAAATGTTCATGGGCTTAATTAGTCACACTGTCATGCTACCTGACTGTATGCAAATACACATAACTGATTGGTTTGTGTAAACAGCCTTTGTCTCCCAATAACCCTAAGGTGCGCATGCCTCTATGCAACAAGCGCCAGCAGTTACATATGTTCGAGTTAATTCATTTGACGTCAGTTAGGAGTAGTCTAAGCTCGAAATAATCACCTCATACCCACAAAAAAATCAAGTTGGAAACAGTGAGCATCAGCGGTGTAGCCAAAGTGTGACACACGTAACCCCCCCCCCCCCCTGATTATTTTTTCGCTGTGGTATACAGGGCACAATAACACTGAAACACATCGTCCGGCCTGGCCTCCACTTCAGAATTACAAGGTACCCTCCCTTCCCTCTAAAATAATTTCTGTCTATGCCCCCGGTTGAGTTGTTTCATTTCTTGAGTGAATGTGGTGAATTTTCATCTTTTTTTTGTTTATCTGGCGTTTTCTCTCTCTTTTTGAAGAATGCCTGGCCTAGTGGAGCCAGACCAAGCACAGAGATGTGACAGTGGCTGCCCATGTGCTACAGAAGATATAAAGATCGAAGTAGATATCAAGCAGGCAAAAAATTGATATAAGGCAATAAATATTTTGCTAAAACATGACCTCCTTATTGCATCAAGACAGGCACTTTTTCCTTGGGAACATCATGCTTTGTGATTTAGAGTACTCCAATTTCTTGCCAGAATGACTCATTTCCTGCAGGGAAACTTCAGATTTCCAGCTGGAACGACTTCCATTTTCAGCGAGAACCGCTTTCATTTCTGGCTGGAAGGATTTCCATCACCAGCTAAAATGGCTTCCGTTCCCGGCCAGAATGATTTCCATTTCTGGCCAGAACGGCTTTCATTTCCGGCCAGAAAAAATCTGGCTGGAAACTATTTCCTGTCTTATAATCCAGCCGGGACTGGAAACGTTTTCCAGCTGGAAAGCTCTCCAACAATTTCTTTCAACTTTAATAATGTATATATATATATATACATATAAATTCTTACACCATCAGCAACACTGTCCGCAGAACCCCAGGGCTTTAGCTTCTGGACACCAAAAGGGTTTGTGAGAGCTGCCGCAGTGCGCTTCACTCGACTGTTGAATGACCCCATCCGCATGAAACCCAAGTCCTTTTCAAGGGTGCGGGAAGCTGCAAGAAACCAGTAAAAAAGCATTGGAACATATGACACAGAGATATGAGTCACAAATACAGCACAGAAACAGTCATGTTATTCCTCCTAGGCAAAGCAAATGCAATGTTCGCACACAGACCAGAACGGAAACACCATTCCCAACATTCAACCGCAAAGCAAGCAAACACACAATAAAGCAATGTATAAAGTGGACTCATCTCTGAAGCATCACAAACAAACTGATCAAAACAAGGCAAAAAGAAGTATTGTTTCTGTGAAACCACAGACATTTTCCACATGTACCTTAACATGGATAATACTATCGGTGCTCGCTCGGTAGCTATGACCTGATACTGCTTGAGCATAAGGTCGCAGGATCAAGTCCTCGCTATCGTAGCTGCAGTTCAAAGCAGGCAGAATGAGCAAATCCCAGTTAATTCAGAGCGCTTGACTACAGCTCCTTAACAATTGAGCCCAGAATGCAGGCTCCAACCTTAAGATCCACAATATATTTTATTTAGATAACCTTTCCATCGTAACTTCCAGAATCAACTAGATGCCTAATAATGTCACACCCCACTTGCTTATTTTCTAAAAACAACATTTCAGCAAAAGCAGAGCTGTGAATTTGCAGCAATGTATTTTTGAGTGCTACTACACTTTGTACTTTGTAGAAAGAAGGAAAACTTTGTTTGCAAAACGAAAAGAAAACGCTATGGCCAATTCATCAACATGATCCACTCGCCACTAATGATGGAAAGTGAAAATGGCCTAGGATACAGCAGGAGGAACTGCTACAAAATCACAGCCCAGAGATTGAAGGGATGCGATATCTACAGAGGCAAGTAATTTGAAGTCTGCTTCTTTTCAGTGAAGTTACCTATCGGACATCTGCGACGCATTTACTGCAGCAGCACAATGCTGATCCACTGATTAACATTGGCACAATATTCGTAAAAGGAGGTTTTAACCGTCTGAAGTCCAGCATTGCCTAACCACATACTGTTGCGGGCATGTCGCGATATGGGGTGGAGCCTGACACTGCAATGTGGCCACAGTGGTTCATAGTCGGACAATGCTGGCCAGGTTCTTTCGTGGTGGATTCATGCATACATTTTCACCCTATATTATGTACCATCTGTAAAAAAAAGTCGGCATCTTTTACCTGAGCTCTGAAGGGATACTAAAGTCAACTATTAAGTTGACGTTGATTGTTGAAATGGCGGTCCAGAAACCTCGTAGTGTTACTTTTGGGCCAAGGAAGGGACTATATTTAAATAAAATCACGTTTTACAGCTGTGCATCAAGTTAGCGCACTTCAATTTACCCACCTCAAGAAGCGAACCGACCGGACCGACTCGCGTCACTGTTGCCATGCACAACGTTGCCCGGCTTTACTGCACTAGTAGCAGCAGACCAAAAGCAGCGGGAGCCACAGCAGCAATAACGGGAATTGATCAATTTCTCGTAATTGGCTTCGAGATTGCAGACGCTTCTGTTTCAACTGCGCCCCGCTAGATGGCACCACCTGTCCCGTGTAAGCACGCGAAAATTAAATTTTTGAACCACTTGCGCCATTCCCCATAGTAACGTCTGGTGGTTTTTTTTTTTTCCATGAATCAAACAGAAATGAACAAACAGCATTTTACTGCATCTCTTAATGCACGAAAGGTTCTTTATTTAGTGCAGTTAGAACAATTACAAACGATTATTCGTAGGCGGTCCATCTGATGACATTGGGATTATTTTGAAGATGTCCTACTGTGGCGCTTGTGGTTCTTGTGCATTTACCTTAATTTATTGGCAAGCAGGGCACTATTGTCGATAATATTGTCGTTTTATATGATGTCATACATTGAGCTTTCACTCTGATGCAAATTGTTATTTTAGTGTTCTTTTAAGTCTTTTACTTTGAGACCAGAAAGGAAAAAGGTTGCAGACTGAAAGAGGTTCATAGCAACTGCTCAAACACCTGAAAACTTCTAAATCTGGTCAACAAACGTGACAGTGTGCAGCAGAATAGTGACGCCCACTTTTTGCTTAAACATGCCAGAAAAATCGAAGAAATGGACATGTGAAGGAGAGACCATTCAAAAATGCCTTAGAAAAAGTATATAATATAAAGCAATGAAACTTTAAATGCTCATGAAGACTTTAATGCTGATTTCAAATATGTCATCAGTTTTACATTGAGATGCAGTTTTAGTTTTTAGCCTTTTCCCCACCTAACTATCTCTAACTTGCTTACTTAGGGCCATTAACAGCTTATATTGCCCAACATTAACTATAAAATGGTGAGAACTAACTAGAAAGTGCATATAAAACATGGTAATGAAAGTTTAAATTTGAATCTGAGTAACCAGTTACTTGATATTAGTTTCAATATATAGGCAATATCAAAATTTTAAGGATAATTGCACTCCTCACATGCTAAAAGAAATATGAAAAAAAATGTCCCCCACGCCCAAGCACCAAAGAACAAGATGTCTAAACCCAAGAAGTTTCCGAACATTACATTGTGCTCTATGATTTCTTGCTCCATGGGAGCTTGGTTATATTGAGAATGCGAATTTATTGCACTGCTACTGTGAACCACAATGGCAAACAGCAGCACTGTGCTGACCAGGCCACTTTAGACAATGCCCACTTAGTAGATTTTAACAGCTACCTTGTGCTCTTTAAATGCTTATTGACTGAATTGCGAATAATATTGAACTTTGATTTTTTTTACTATCACGAAAGAAAACCTTAAACTTGACAAAACAAGCAAAACGTCTTCCATTAAACACCGCAATTCCTTGAATAGAACCCTCCACGGCTTATTTTCGTTAATGCTACACACCACTATACTCTTTAATCAACACGAGATTGAATTTTACTCGCACAATATGCTCATGTAGGGAAGAAAAAAAGCAGATATTCAAATAGGTAGTTTTCCAAGAATGCAGTGTAATGAAATACACATTAGTAAGGTAACAACTTTTTAATGTAAGTAACTCACAGCATAACATTAAAAAAAGAGAAAGTGAGTGTAGTTCTCGTGTTACAAGGTTACAACAACCCTAGGAAAAACTGTTTTATTCAGTAGAAATGCGTATGAAACAAATACATAAAAATGTTTTCCAGAATACTGCAGAGAGCAAGAATGTCTGTTGACCACAGAGTATCACAGCCAAAAACCCCAAGAGTTTAGTGGGTGTCATGGGTGCAATACAAAGAAATATGGGGTACAGATGCTGCCACCATCAAAAGCATGCAAAATAAAAAGAGGAAAACCTTTGTGTGAACACAAACACTGTGGAGAAAAAAAAAGTGCCACAACAACAGTCAGCAACAAGGCCTGGCCAGGTGCACTGTAAATGCAGGAGGTGGAGGTTGTTAAAAAAAACAAAGCACCAAAAGCAAAAGGAGACACATTCCACAGTGCTAAGCCAAAGGCAATCCTTACCTCAAGATGGTGAAGCCTGAATGCCAATCTGGCAGCCTCCTATAAAATCTGTCACAGATTCAGCCAGGGCAAGGTTTGTCCCCATAATGAAAGTATGCATTCGCTTATATGACAGGCACCATGTCACAGAATGCACGTCACTCAAATCCACACTGACAATATTGTAAAAATGGAATGTAAACCTTTATTTTTTGAACATTAACAAACACATTTTAAGACAAATACACAAAGATAGAAGAGATCAAAAACAATTAATATTTATGAGAAGAGAAAAAGGTTTGATGGCCAGGTACAGCAGCTCAGTGACATTGCATGTAGAAGAGTACGTTCCTCCATGCTATCAAGACAAAAAAAAGTCTTTCCCTGTAACCCTTGTCATAGGTACAATGACTACATCACACACAAAGATTAGTGCCTAAAGCAGTAAAAGAACCAAGAAAAACTTGACAGCACCACTGCATACCCAGAGAAAGCTGTGCTGGCTTTACGGTACTTACAACTTAACCAGCACATTTTAGACAAAAACTACGAAAGTTTAGCTCGGACTGAGGCCATTGATGACAATGCTTTAGGCTATAGACTATGGTGCAAGAAAAATAATTTAGGTGTGGACACTCTGCCCCACCACAGCGTGTCCAGATAATGTTTGGTGCTTTCAGTCTCTCCTGGCCCCCACGTCGCAGCACCCTCCGAGTGACTGCAGCTGGTGCAATGTATTATAGATGACGAGCCGCGCATGCAGCGTCTGTAATCGTGTTGTGTACGGAAAAACACCGTGGAGGCAACTGCAGAGTTCATCGCATGTAACGTTTTTCGTTCGCGAGAAATGCGGCATGCGTGTCTAGTTTTAGTTACTAGCATGCTCGGTGATTAAAAAATATGTATGTATATATAAAGAACATGCATCAGCCTCGTGGCACGCAATTCCTTCAGGCTTTCACGCCCCAGCACCCCTCCGCTTTTGCGCCACGATACTGCAGCCAGCACATGTACTAAAGCCGAACATTGTCTGGATGCAGTCTTTGTTGCGGCGGGCAGAGGTCTCCAGACCTAATATATTTTTCATACTCCGTGCTAGGACTATGTGAACCGTTATATACTGCTATTATTCTAGCTAAACAAACTGGCTAACACACAATGGTGAATAAAAAACAGCATGAGCCATGGTGCTGTATGAAAAACAAAACCTTTGAAAAATATTTCGTCAGCATTCTTCTATCAATATACTAGAAGTTATACAAAATGAGGCAAGATGAACAATATTCAATGCACAAACACTGAAGTACAAATTTCTTCAGAGTGTCTTCTAGACATGGATGGTCTGAAATAATTCCTATGTATTCTATACTGGCCACACGTGCACAGAAATGAAGCTTTTTATGATCACGTTACAGTAAAAGGGCTGCCACTCCTTTTTTTGTATATAGTATGCAGTCAGAACTGCAAGCATTATTAGAGGATGAGAAAAATGAGAGCTTTTCAAACTTCACAGCAGAACACCAAACAATTAGGAGAGCATAAGCATTCACAGACCCCAAAGTGTACATTTGGTGTCTACGCATTTGGAGT